TTGGTCCCCAGGCTGCTGTTGAAAGCTTGGGCAGGGGGCTGGGCAAGTCCCTCTCTGTGGAGGTAAGCAGGTGGCTTGATCTTGGCTGGCACCTTGGTGGGTCATGGGACCTTGGTGTGTGCCTGGTTGCGTCATGGGACTGGAGCCAGTTGTGGGGCATGTTCAAGGACCGTGGCAGATGCCTGGGTTTGTCACAGGACTGCAGCAAGTGGCAGGGCAGGTAGTGGGACATTGGCTGGCACCTGGGTGGCTCATGGGACCTTAGCTAGAGCCTGGGCAGGTTGTGGGACCTTGGCAAGTACCTGGGCACATAGCGGGACCACAGCCTGTGGTGGGGCAGGTTGTGGTACTTTGTCAGGTGACTGGACAGGAAGAGGGTCTTGGCCATTTCCTGGGTAGGTTGTGGGACCACAGCCAGTGATGGAGTAGCTCCTTGGGCCACAGTATCTGAACCATCTGAATCTGGCAGGGTGGGGTGATGTTCAGCACACTGCCAAGGAGTCACAGTGGCTGGAGCTCTCCTCCCCACTCTCTAACCTGGCAGGGCTAATGAAGAGGCAGCTGCAATGGAGCTGACCCCTCTGCAGACCTGATGTTCTGGGGCTGACAGAAGAGATTGGAGTCTGTTGTTGTGACCTGGGACCAGAAATTGGCTGGACCCCACTGTACCTGCTCTCCAGTGCAATATCAGTTCCTTTGATCAGTTTGGAGGCTTGCTGTGTTGGACAAGCTTAGATTTCAGTGTCTGCAGGGGAAGTGAAGAGCCCTGGGGATCTCTTCCCTAACCCTTCCATGTGTGTGGATGCTTCCCCAAGGTACCTTCTCATCTTGCCGAGCTGATCACCCTGTTTATTTTCCCCACACTTTGTGTGTCTCCAGTCCTTTCTGTGATGATTCACACTACCCTCTCTGAGATGGTCCATCCACAGGTAAATCTCTACCTGCAACCTTTGATCCTCTCCTTGAGAGCAATGAGTGTAGGCTGCTTCTAGTCTGCCATCTTGGCCTCTCCTCTTGTACTTTACTAAGTAAAAAAAATTACATATATCTGCTGCTTAGAGCTCTTGGTCAGGATGTGCTATCCGACATAATCACAAGTTAATATAATTCTAGCTAAAAGGAAATATATTTGATATTTGAATTAGTTTTACTTAGGTAAATATTTAATTTTTTTTTATTTCAGCATATTATTGGGGTACAAATGTTAAGATTACGTATATTGCCCTTGTTGAATTTTTGTTATGAATTTTGAAACATCAAATATCTTTAAAACTCTCAAATACTTAAAGACACTTAAAAGAGCTTCCTAGTGATGCACAGACTACAATTTGGGAATTTAACAAGTATATTACGGAATAATCCACCAAATAATTATCATTATTGGTAATATTTATTGGGCAATTACTATATGCCAGGTCTATCTACATTTTAAGTACTGTATATACTTAGTCTTCATTTAATCCTGAGCCACATTGGGATTAAATTACTTACCCAGGGTCATACAACAAGGAACTGGTAGGATTTGAACCAGGGAAGGTTTGAGTGCATGGGATTGAAGACTGTTGTTCTCAACCCAGCAGTGAACAATGAGAGTGCTTTAATAGATGAATCTTGAAGGAGATTAAGATCTCTTGAAGGAGACATTAATATTTATATCAGTTGAATCTTAAATTGTTAGGATGTGGAAAGACATCAGAATTGGGATGCTGAGAAATGTTAGGGGTGCTGAGAAATGTTAGGAGTGCTAAAATGGAGCTGGGGATAAGGTACTAAGTTTTAATCTCCAGGTTAGTACCTGAATTTGTACATATGAGTCAAGGCTTCCAAAAAGGCTAGAAGTTGAACAAACCAGTAATTTATTGGTCAGAGCGGTGGTTTCCAACCATCTAAAAAGATGTTTGGTTTGGGGGGGTTGGTAGGTGAGGTGAAGGAGTATATCACCATTCTAAGACAGGGTACAAGGGTGGGGGGAAGGGGAAAATGGCTCCCTCTCTACAATTGCATATATACAATAAAGTGGGGGGAGAGGAAGTGAGGAGAAAAGCTCATTTTTTAGTTAATAACTGATGCTCTAGAGTTTCAGGCTCTTTAACGCTCTGTGGATTAGGAATTTGTGGCAATTCTATACCACTGAATGCCATAAAACCCAGGATATTGAGATTCCAGGGTTAGGACTCTAGCAATTTAAAAACAATGAAGTGCTGAGGGGGGTGGGGAACAAAAAACCCCAGGGATTTGAAAGGTAAAGCTCTGGAGATGTTAAACACTAATCCCCCTTGCACTCCAAGTCAATCACAGTTTTAGCCCCTAGTATAAGTGGAAATGGCATTGGGGTTTGGAAGGAAAGGGGTGAATAAAAGAAAGGCCACCTGGGCAGGCATTTGGGCCTCCCTCCCTAAGTTTAACTGGAGCGACTCCCATTTTATTTGTTTAGTATATTGAGAGTTTCTGCATACAGTTTCATTTGATAAAGGTGTTCCAAGCTTAAGAGAAAAAGGCAAAACCACTTCACTAGGGAAGAAAAAAAGGATGTGGAACCTCTAAAAAGTGTGCCAGTAGTTCACCTCAGCCTCCGTTTTTTTTGTTTGTTTGTTTGTTTGTTTTTTTAAATAGCGTCAGACACTAACAAGGACTTTTTGGCTGGGATGTTAGGAGGGGCCAACTAACAGTTCAGTGAATCAGTCATCCCCTACTGTGAAACCACCACCACCAACAAATAATAATAATAGCAGTTACCATATTAAGTGTCAACTCTGATGTGGCACAAGGCTAAATGCTTAAATAAATTGTGCCATTCAATTCTCTGTAGTCCTATGAGATAGGTACTACGGTATTATTATCTCATTTGACAAATACTGTCACTATTTTGCACATAAAGAAATTGTGCATATGGTATAAATATATGGGAATAAACAAAATAAAGGCATTTTAAAATCATATTTTCCGATTATATTTAAGTACTTGGTAAGGGCCTGTTGCAAGTGAAATACACATCAAATCAAGGTGATCTATTCCTTTGAACTCAAATGAGTTCAGAAGGACAAATCAGACACTGGCCCCTGAAGTCAGGAAGGTCTGATAGCCTATTCTAAGAGGAAAGTGTTTTAAGTAGAAAAAAAAAGTAGACTTTTACACAGAAAGTAAAGGTCATATTGCAATTGCATGTTTGCTTGAAAAGATTTTTGTTAAGTTTTTCATTCAACAAATAATTATTGGGCACCAGCTATGTGCTCTGAACCCATAATCTCAAACATAAAAAAGTGAGAGATATATTTATTTGGTACAAACCTCAAGCCTAAGAAATTTCTAGAATTACCAAATCCTGGTTTAGGTGGCACCTGTTGATTAAGTGTGATTTGCAACCTAGTTCCAATAGATGTTTAAACACTCAAAAAGAATGAGTAGGGCAGTAGAGTTGTAGATTATAGATCATAGAATTAAAGAACCTTAGAAATAAAGTAGCACATTTCCTGTACTTTACAGGTGAGAGAGTCAGACGGACTTGGATTGTAAACTGTATAAACTTGGGCAAGTTACTTTACCTCTCTGAGCCTCAGGTTCCTCATCTATAACATGGGAGTAATAGCACCTGCCTTATAGATATATATGGTAAGGATTATATAAGATATAAAGTTCTTAGTGCAGAGTCTGACACACAACATGCTCAATACATGATTACTGTTATTGTGATTACTATTTTCCATGTGAGGAGACTGAAACTCAGTAAGGGGAAATGACTAGTCCAAGGTCACATAGCTTATTAATGTTAGGGAAAAGAATAAAACTCAGATTTCTACTGATTGCCAGATAGTCCTTATACTACCCTACCCAGTTTACTCCCTGGGAGCAGGTAATATAAACTTCTTAAGCTTGTGAGACATATTGTGGCTCATCCAGGGAGAAGGGAAAAGAATTACAAGGAAATGCCTGGCATAAGATGAGGATCACTGGACTCAGAAAACAAAAGAGCAAGGGATAAATAAAGAGCAAGAGAGAAACAATAATTACTAGAAAGTTTACATAGCAATGTTGGAGCATTACAATACCTAGTGAATTGAAGGACTGATCTCTATCCCAATTTCTTTATATACCACAAATGAAATTGACTTTTTTTTTTTTTTTTTGGAAGTAGGAGTAGGAGGTGGTTTAGAATGCATGTGGGGTTCACAGAAAGTTACTGTGAATTCAGCTTACTATGCAGTTTATATTTGCAAAGCAAGAAAACCCAGTAATTAAAATGAGAATGGAAGTATGAGTACTACCAAAACTTAAGGAATGAGATTTTAAAAGCATATTGGGCTAGAGTGACATGTCATAGTAGAAGTTGTTGATAAATTCAGCGAAAAGAAAAAACAATAGCTCAAATAGTAAAGCCACATTGTAGTTGCTTTGCGTCTCTATAGTACAGGTACAGCATTGAGAGTGAGTGATTTGTTAGATGAAGATATTCTTAAAAATTTTGAAATATATAAAAAGAACCACTCTGTTTCTATGCTAAAAGTGGAGGTTAATTTACACTTGCCTAAGCAAAAGATGATATGTTCTTTCCTAACTTATAGTTTGCTTTAATCAGAGGTCCACAGTGTTGGTTGTTATAAGATCCAAGGAATATTCAGACTATCCAGGAATTCCCTCATAGAAGCAAGGCCATTTTGCTCAATTCATCACTGCATAGTGCATGACACATGAATTGATGCCAGAAAGTCCGACTGGAGTTCCTTGCCCACCACAAGGAATACATTGTGATTGTTTCAGGTGCAATTTCTTCATAAAAGGATTGTTCCAATATTGTGCACTTAAAAATTTGTTAAGAGGGTAGAAGTCATGTTAAGTGTTCTTACCACAATAATAATTTTTAAAGATTGTTCCTTTTCTTACTTCATTCTTTCATCTTGAGTTTGCTAATTTTCCTCTCATGAAAATGACTACATTTTATTTCAAACAAAATATATTGGTAACACCTTGATTGCCTATTCATTTGATAATTTTCACCTTCACAGGGCATCAGGTACTGTTTATACAGCACTAGACATTGCAACAGGACAAGAGGTAAGTGCTAACATTCAATCCTGATTTTTATTTTCCTTTATTCATATTTATCAGGTTTCTTCTTTGATGGCATCTATGCTGGAAAAAAATGGGTACCACTGGGTAAAGCATCTGAAGCATCTTAAGTAGATTGACCAAAGAAAACAGGCATAGTTTTGTGCCACAGATAAAGAGCTCAGTAGATAATAATTTATATGCCTTACTTTGTGTCCCCCCAAAAATGGATGCTTATGTTTATTGTAACGATTGTAATTCATTCTTGTACTTTAATCATCATTCAGGTGGCCATAAAGCAGATGAACCTTCAACAGCAACCCAAAAAAGAATTAATTATTAATGAAATCCTAGTCATGAGGGAAAATAAGAACCCCAATATTGTTAATTATTTAGATAGGTAAGTGTTTTTTTTTCTCATTATGTACTTGTTCTCTTTATGGGATGTCATTTTCTTTGCAAATTACTTTTTTGGGATCTATTCATTTAACAGTCATTCTACAAATATTTCTCAAATTCTGCAAAGAAGTAGAGTGTTAGATCTATTGCTGAATTTTCACCCACTTATCTTTGTCCACCCATCAAACACTTGAAGAAACATTTTATGGTCTTTGTTCAAACATGAGCAGTTTGTGTAATTTCCTCTTGAGGATCGTGGCTCCATGTTGGCAGGAAATAGGCTATTGCATATAAGAGAGAGCAGTGATGTTTTAAACGTTTCATCAAGTGTTTGTTTGGAGCCAGTACAGTGTCTGGGAGTCTAAGTGAAGAAGGCTGACTACAATGGCCCTGCTTTAATGGGTGCTTTGTGATTAACTGACAGTGAGGTCTAGGAAATTGAGACTTTAATCTCAAACCTTTTTCCTAAACCAGGTAATTAATGTCTCTTTCATCAGTGGTATTAACAGTGTGTGATAAATAGGCATTTAAAGACAGCACTAACTCTTCACTTGTGGTTAACATCTGTCTCATTCAATTTCAATAAGTGTTTGTTTAGCACCACTGTGCTGTGTTCTCTGGGGGGTATACAAAGGAAATAAAGCTAGATCTTCAACCTCAATGAGATTAAGATCTTGCTTTCTGTGTTTTGGGCCAGGAAGACCATGATACAGAAGGAGGAAAAAAGAGGAGGAAAATGGATGGTCAAATCTTGAGTATTTCATAATGTGTCATTTAGGGACTAACTGCAGCAGAGTGACCTAAAGTCACTCTGTGTTTGTAATTTTGTAAAACTTACATTTTCACTTACAAAAAATGCAGATTTCCAGGCTGCTCACCATAATTAATCAAATGGGACCTGTGAATTTTCATTTTTAATAGACTTTCCAGTTGAATCTTATGGACACTGCAGTTCGAATACCACAGGATAGAAAGTCTTGCTTCTATCCTGTGGGTCTTAGGACAGGGTAGAAACATTAAGATCATTCCATTTCCTGTAATTTCTCTCTCTTGGTGAGCAGGGAGCCAGACAGATCTAATAATACTGCTAAAGTGCCTTCCGATGGTTCTAGGTGATTTGAATAACCTCATGCTCTCTTTGCCTGAATTGTAGGGCTCTGGTGACCCTTGTCTTCATATTTGATCACTTGGGGTATGTTCCTCAATAACTTCTTAAAGTTAATGGGCATGGCACAACTCACAATTGAATTCTATCAGAACTGAGGCCTGAGAATGTTACAGTCCTCACTTCCTTAGTTCCAACTCAAAGTCTTGGTTTTTATTGTTATAGCTACTTAGTGGGTGATGAACTATGGGTAGTCATGGAATACTTGGCTGGTGGCTCGTTGACTGATGTGGTCACGGAGACCTGTATGGATGAAGGACAGATAGCAGCTGTCTGCAGAGAGGTAAGAAAATAGAGCATTTCTAGCTGAGAAGAACACCAGAATTGGCAGTTCCTTATTTCTGATTATTGAGAATGCTTGTAACAAAGTAACAATAGCAGAACTTTTCTACTGGAAAAAAAAATTCGAGAGCCTAACTTTAATTTAAACCCTAACCTAATAGCATTCTTCTGCATTACCCTTGCTGACCTCTTGTTTATTTTAGTTGCTTTTTTATGGATTTTGAGTTCTGTTATGCCATTCTTGAGGTACCATATCTAAGCCCACATGCTATAGTCTCAATGAACATGGGAAAACAGTAATGTTAGCATGGAACTTCTTTCTGATTTGGGGGGACTTTTACATGATAGTTATTTTGTCTTGCATGTGCAATGTGAGCTATGTAAAATACAAACCACATTATATTCTCATCATTTTCTAGAAAGCAATTTAAATAAGGTCCTCCCTCAGACCAGAAATAAGTTTCTTTCACAATATAATTTGAACATCCCTCATAGTCCTCCAGGGGACCTCAGGGGCTGTCTGTTTTCCAATCACAGTGTCATATCCCTAGGATCAAGCTAAATTAAAGATATTTTATTACATTTACTTTTTTGATATTTATAAAACCACACATTTTTCATTGGAGTCTCATCTACTCCATTCATTGTGGTGAGGCTTTCTATAGACAAAAGTAGGAACTCCAACTCACTGAAACTCGAAAATCAATGATAGGAAAGCAAAACTATATGGTATCAGCTACTCTTTGCTTGTTTATTTATGTTAAATTGTTCACTTAAATCTACTTCTTCCTTGCTCTCCTCTCATTCCCATTTTCCGCACCCCAAACATACACACACACATCCACCAAACACATAGGTTTTCTATTCATGCAATAAATCAACTTTATAGTCATTCAAGGGAACATTCTTCCCTGAGCCTGTGGTTTCCATCTTCTAGTATTACAATACGAAGGCATTTCCAAAAAAGTACCTGTAGTTACTTCATAGCCTAGGAGCCTTCATAGATAGCCTGGCTGTCATTCAGAAATAGCTTTTATGGCATTTGTTTTAAATGCAGATTCCTGGGTCCTACTCCAGACGTTCTGAATCAGATTGTACCAGGTGCACAGAAGTTTACCATATCTGTAAAAGACCAGGCTGTATTCCTATCTTCCAGATAACTAGGCTGAAGTATAATTATATTCATCGGTTAGTTTGCCTGTATTAATGATTAGTGCTACTTATCACATCATCACGCTTCATGTCCTAGTCTGACATGGGAGCCATTATAGTTAGCATGTATAATGCTAAGTGGAATCATTGATGTAACAGGTAATGTGGTTTCAAAGTGGTGTTAAAGCATTCGGTGATATATTTCACTTGACAACATAAAATTATATCCTTGCCCAAAATTTATCTAGAAATGAAACTTAGAATCTTAAAAAATTCATTGTGATATAATTAGACCTTTTTTTCTGATTTAATAGTGCCTCCAAGCTTTGGATTTCTTGCACTCAAACCAAGTGATCCATAGAGACATAAAGAGCGACAATATTCTCCTCGGGATGGATGGCTCTGTTAAATTGAGTAGGTATTTTGTGGTTCAGATGGTGTTTTGAGGGAACTTCTGCTCTTTTATTTTCTAGCTTGAAAACATAATGGCTACTGAAATTGATTGATTTGAAAGCAGTTAGAGCCCAGTTTGAAGCAGATAATTTTTCTAACTCTGTGTTCCTTAGACTGCAACCAAATTTTTTGCATTTAAGATTTCAGAATTTCTAGTGACTTCTAAAATGGATGGATGACAAATACCTAATTAGAAAACTAAAAGATTCTGTAAGTTTGAGGGAACAATACTGGGGGGGACTAGATTGAAGTCTACTAAAAATGATATCACATTAGTCAATTATTTCAGACCCTTCTTAAAATCAGGACTAGCTGAGAAATCAGGTAACAAAAGGATATGAGCTAGGTAGTTGTGGAAGCTCAGCATGTAACAAGGGAAGGTACAGCCATATCTGAAAGTGACCTGTTTTAAAAAGAAAATAATTTGGGTTTATTTTTAACTGACTTTTTGTCTCTGCAGCTGATTTTGGGTTCTGTGCCCAGATCACACCTGAGCAAAGTAAACGAAGCACTATGGTGGGAACCCCTTATTGGATGGCACCAGAGGTGGTGACTCGAAAAGCTTATGGTCCGAAAGTTGATATCTGGTCTCTGGGGATTATGGCTATTGAAATGGTGGAAGGTGAACCCCCTTACCTTAATGAAAATCCACTCAGGGTAAGTCAAAAGAGAATTCAGGTACTTTATTCACAGGAAAGGGGAAAGACTAAATGTCATTTCTTGCTTCCACCAAAAATGACCAGAATGGGCTCGTTCCTGGGACAAGTAACATAGATGCACCAAGTTATAATTTTCAAAATTACTTTGAACTTTTTAAAGTTTATCATGTCTCAACAGTTTTATAAAGTGCATTGATATCAGTATCTCTAAAAACAAGGGTCTTTAAAATTCCCGAGTATAGCTTTCTATTGTAAAATAAATGCAGTTTTTTAAAAAAATAATAAAGTGAGACGTGGGAAGAATGAGTATTTTTATCATATGCCATGGTTAAATGGTCTATCTAGGAAACACTTGCTTTATAATTACTTTAACAAAGTAAACAAATGCATTTCCAGAGCAGCTATAATTTTTTCAATTGGATTTTCTTCATTATCAGTAATGATTTATTGAGCAACAACAGCATGAGGGGTATTGAATGGAACACAGAGATAGACAGAGCACCAGCCTGGTGAAATCACAAATTTAATTAGACTGTCAAGTAGAAAATTAATGGAAATAGTTTGGATTGGGTAACTCAGTTTGCTACTGCAAAATCAGAGGTTTGATCCTCATGTGGTCTGGTTACCACTGCAAAGAGAAAAGCTCCATTTCATAGTCTAACCCTACCACGTTTATTCAGAGATGTGCTGTTGATCATAAGGGGAAAAGGCAAAGAAATATGAAAGAAATGCTTGCTCAGTGCATAAGTGAGCCAGTAGCTATTTTGTTGTACATAGCCTAACAGTGACCCAGAAGCTGTGTTATATATATATATATATATACACACACACACATATATGAAGGACATCACAATGTTGAAAAAGGAAATATGTACAGATTCAAATTCTACTCTCAAAACTCATCCACAGTGCCAGCATCAAGGGTATCTTGCATATTGTCTGCGTCATTACCACTAAAAGTCTAAAGTTGAATTTTATCCTTGGTATACAAAAAACACTGTCCTTAGTAACAGTAAAAAAGTTTTTATATTAAGCTTATAAAATGTATATTTCAGCTAAATTTATGTAGCTTTCTATGCATGTAAAGAGACCTAGGAACTAATTGTCTAGTCATTTTTGCAGCTGAACATTTTGTAGTTGGGAGCTGCATTCCCTATGTCTGAAGAGGGGGACAGCCTCCTCCAGGCTCCCTCTTAATGCCTCTCTCGTACTCGGCCTCTTGTTCTAGTCCCTGCGCTGATTAGAAAACAACAGATATGAGTGAATGTCCTCATGAATGCTATAGGCGATTGCTCTGGTCTCATGAAACAATCTGGAAGTGAGATGTGCACATTGATTAGCTGCCTGCAGGGCTGAGTGGAAAAGAAGGGGCATTTTCCCACCGTTTGTGGGTCAGCCCTCCATGAATTTAATCAAGTCCACTCCTGACCTATGGACCAGCGCCTCAGGATAATTACATGGGCTTTTCCTTATTGTTTAACCACCTTCAACCATTAAGAAATAGCACTGAAAGAACACATCAGGCCTCTTGTTTCCATGGATTTCCTCCTCGAAGTCTTAGGAGTTTGGAGGCACTAAACGGATTATGGCTGTTTTGCTTTCTGCCTTCTAATGAGTAATTTACAACCTGCAAAATTTAAGGATTAAATAAATGGCTCTGTAAAGCAACTAGTCTCTGTAATGCGTTTATTACCTTCTTCAGTCCCCCAATTACAATTGATCACTCTTTAGCTAGGCTGCTAATTGTTAGCAAAAAGGAAACAAGTTTTAATCTTTATGGGCATCTTCTAGCCTAGGATTAGAACTCATAATTAACAGCTTGTCTCTTAGAATCCACAGCCTTATATCTAAACAAGTACTTGCCACAAGGTTCAGGAAGCCTACATTAAGGCTGTAACAAAAAGATCCATCAGAAAGACCACCCTGTTGAATTCCACTGATAAGGATTTGCTCTAACTTTGCTCATTACTCTTCGTGTGTGATCAGCCTCCAATTAGTCTATCAACAAGTCCATATTGAGTTAGTCCTATTCTGAGTCTATCTCTCCTAAGCACCAGAAGTACATTTTTTAGTTTTGATGTCAAATATGCTTTCTTCATGGTCTCTTAAATAAAACACAATGTCTCAGGCTATATGCCCTTTTTTGGAATTAGAAAACTGTAGTCACTGAAACCATGGGGAGATTAGAGAGAAAAAGATATAAACATGAGCCTGTAGGGAGCCTACATTTTCTTGGATCCTGGTGACCAGGCCATGTGTGGGGAGAAATAGAATCATCCAGAGCTTTAGAAGAGGTATAAAAGTGTGCTAGATTAGTCCTTTTGTCTTTAAAATACTTCTAACACAACTACCTGTCTGCCATTTTCAGCTTTCAGGTGGAAAGAAGTGAAAGGAAGAAAGTAAAATAAGTAGGAGGAAAACAGAGTGGTAGAGGACAGAGTAGCATGTTGATATGAAAAACATTTGGTCTAGTAGTCAGGCAGATTTGGCTGTGTCCTGGATTCACAATCTACACACTCTGTGCCCTACTGCAAGGTCACTTAAAACCTTTCTAAGCCTGTTTCTTATCTGTAAAATGAGGATAATATCTATCTTGCAGAGTTAATGTGAAAACTAAATGAATAATGTGTGTGAATCACCTAGCACAGGGTCCAGTTCTTTGTAGGAAATATATATAGAGAGAGAAATTTATATATGAGTAGAAAAGTAAGAAAGGAAAAAGAGACAGGATGCTTAGAGTGCTTTATACTCACTCATGAAGGGAAATTGGATTCACTACTCCCCTAGGAACTTCCCCTTCACCTGGGCAGCATCACCATCCCTTTAAAGAATGGAGGGTTCTGTACAGTTCGGTACAATTACCATGAACAGGTAAAACTGAACAGAAGAAGTTCAAGGTGAAGTCTGGGGCTATGCATTTGAAGGTTGTTTGTGTTTCACTGTGTGTTTTTTTTTGTGTGTGTGTGTCTTGGGTGAATCCCTTTTGAGCAGACTCTCTATGAATGTTGCCTATTAACATATTGATGATGAAAGAAATTAGCTACTTTTACTCCCTAGTTATAAAGTGGTTGGGATTTTTTAAATGTAAATTGCTCTGTACTGATTGACCTAATTTGCTCATAAAATGCCTTTTAAAGGTCAGAGAGTTATTAACCATACTGATGTTATAAGGTTGGTACCCTTCCAGAGACAGAGAGGAGACAAGCTTCTTACTGTCTCCCACTGCCTGAAGTCTTTGCTCTCAACATAATTGGCCCCGGACATGTTGTTCTGTGACCCATGGACAGTTTTAGTGTAGCCTCCAATAATATAGTGCCTTGTTTCTTCTGTTTGCCAAAGTAAATGGGGTTAAAAGTCTAACTTTCCCTATGGATATGCAAATCAAATGTTGGTGCTCAGATGATATCTTCAACTTTTTTGTTAATCAAAGACATATATTTTAAAACCTGGGATTATCATATAATAACCTGATTCTAAATAAGAAGGCACAATCATTTTTGTAAAGCAAAACTTTGGTTTGTTTTATTCCTCAGCACCAAGTGTATGCCTGCTTACTAATTTAGCACTCACACATAATGGAGCTGTTCTTATCAACAGGTTTTGGTGGGATTTGGTATTTGTGAAATGTCTCAATGACGTCCACTTGAACTCCCTACTAGGCCCTTTGAAACCCTTCTTTGTATGTAATTTTTAAAATTTTTATCAAAGTTGAAATGAACTTTAAATGTTCTCTTTCTACCCTTGCTTTAAGCATCTATGAAGCTGTATCAAAGACTGGATCACTGGAAGACAGTTATTGGTATCAATGCTAAAAACTGTATTTAGTATAGTGTGTAAACCACAGATCCTATACCAGTGGTTCTCCTCTTTGGTTATGCATGGAATCATCTATGGAGCTTTAAGAACCAATGATGTCATGGTCCCACCCCGAGAGAAAATTGGTAACCAGGATTAGGCCAAATACAAAACTATGTGGCAAGCCCTTTATAGAATACTGTCCAGGCTGAAAACAATTCTTCATCAGCCCTCCTTGAGCAAGGTTGTCCCACAAGAAAAGAACACAGTATCATTCTGCCCACGTTTCTCCATTTTGTCTAAAAAATTATGAGCAACACTGTCAAAGCCTAGTTGAAATCCTGATGTGCTTTATGTTGTTGTCTGGTTTACCAGTGTAGTAACACTATCAAAAAATAAATGGTATTAGTTCAGCATAAACCTCCATATTATGCCACTTCTTTTTCAATTTTGCTTCTCCTGAAAATAGAGTTCATCATTAAAATGTGTTAGCTGCTGTCTCAGTACCTAGCACATATTGGTACATAATAAAACCATCAGTCCAACTACTCATGATTAGGAGTGCATTACCTGTATGCCCGGGGAGAAGGGGGATGGGGCAGAAATCTAAATTCAGACCTGTTGTCTAAACTAAAGGCTTCCTACTTGCCTTTTCTCCACACTTAAAGCACTACACAAATGTTAGTTAGTCTTATTTTTTACTATAGGAACAGGGGAATTCTGGTTAGCTTGTATGTCTAGGCAAGAGAGTTAAGTAGGGTAAAAGAATCTCTAGCAACTGAAAAACAGCAACTAAGGGCCAAACTGCTTGTAGCTCCCTCCAACCACTGGAACCTGTGCTATGGATTGGAATGTCTGGGTTTGATGGCGCATGCTCATTTGGAATTAAAGTCAGACATAAACTTCCTGAGCGCCGGAGGAGCAAGCATACTTTGCTAGCACTCAGTCAATATTGTTTTGAATGTATTTCAGGAAGAGCTGGGAGCATTCCCCACTTTTTCCGTAAGCCACTATGGAACAGCAAGGTTTATTGATGGTTTGTTGACACTCCTCCTACTTTGAGGGCAAGCCTCTGCCTAAAAGGAGGGGCGAGTTGGGATAACTACAACTAAAATAATTGCAGAACAGTAACAGGGTTCTTTTTAATCAGAAAAAAATATTGCCTGTCAAAAGATAGACAGCTCTTAAGAATCATTGGTTGTG